ATAATATAATAAACAATTATTAATTTATTTAATCAACTTTATTATTTCTAATTTAATAATAATAAATTATTCAAGAAAAATGATTAGTTGACCTGAATTTTTATTAGGTCAGGTCAGATCAGGTTGACCTGTTGACCTGACCTGAAATCAACCTGAAAATCTATTGACCTGACCTGAATTTTCAGATCAGTTCAGGTTAGGTAAACAGGTTGATCTGACCTGATTCAGAACTCTAATAAAATTTTAAAATGATATACAAAAAAAAAATGATTAATATTTTATTTTCATTAGTTAATTACTAATCATATGATATAAAATTTACAAAAATTTTAAAATATTATTGAATTAAAACTTTCAGCATAATAATAAATTATTTATTTATTCATTATATAAATTTAATTACATAAAACATGTAAAAAATTTAATATCTAACCAAAATAATTAAAAGATTAGATAAATAAAAAAAAAAGATTTAATTAATACATCTTTAAAAATACTTAAATTATATAAAGAAAAATTACTTAAATATTCATAATTAGTAGATATCTTATTTGATTAAATTATAAAATAATAGCTATTACAAAATCCTATTATATAATTATTAATATTACAAAAGTAATATCTCTTATACAAAAAACTTCTCTTACTTTTGATATATTTATTCTAATAATAATTAAAAAATATAATATTTATACAGTTAGTATTAGAACTACAGGTAATGAAAAAAATTTTATTGTAGTTTTTGGATATATAGTTATAATATAAAATTACTTCTAATTATTATTTCAAATTAAAAGATATATCTTAAAAAATTTTTTCTGAAGGTATATTTATTCGTGTAAATAAAAAAAATTAAGTTAATAAAAATGAAATATTATAGTGGATTGAAAATATTTAGACTAAATGATCTTTATTAAAATAATTCATATTCTTTTTTAATTTTAATTTATTTTGTATACATATAGTTAATTCAGTTAAAAATTAATTTACTATAAAAATATAAATATAGTAGTAATTTCTGGTAGTTTAACATCAAATTATAACATTAGATATTACAATTAATAAAAGTTTTAAATTTAAAGTATAAATAATTTTTATTTTATATTTTATTTTATTTTATATTTATTTTATATAAATATTAATAAAATTAATTTAAAAAGATTTGCACATTATATAATCAATAGATGATAAAGAAAATTTATGAAACTATACTATTAAATCATATTAAAAGGCCATCATATTCAAAATTAGCTAAAATGTTATGAAATACTTATTATAAAACATTTAAATTTAGCAAAATAAATTTAATTATTTTTTTGATATAGGAAAAAAATAGTAATGATAAAAATGATTAGCATATTTTGTATTATATTATATACTATACCATTATCCCTTCAAGTATTTTGCAGGCAAATTTGCCTGCAATTTTATTTAATAATTAAAATTATTTATAATAATTTTAAATATTTTTAAAATAATTTATTTAAAAATTAATATTTTTATAATAAATTTTATGATATTTTCTAAGTAAAAATTGTAATTAATTAGTGATATTTTAAAGATAAATATATGATAAATTATTATGAAAAAAGTTAAATTTTTAAATTTATATATCTTGCTATCTATTAATTATAGAAATATGAAAATATAATTATTTAATAGGTTTTAATAAGATAAATCTAATAAACTAAGTTATTTTCTTGTAATTATTTAATAGTAAGTTATTTTAAAAAATTGAAAAATTGAAAATTATTTTATATTAATAATTATTAATTTTAAAAATTTAAAAATACTATCATTAAAAAGATATTAATATGATAAGTCTAATAAATTTTATTTATCTTTTTATAATCACTAGATATTAAAATATTATAATTTTTTTATAATGTTTTATAGCTAATTTATACCTATACTTTAAGGAATAATATTTAACAGAAGGGATTACTATAAAGATCTTATGGTAATTTGATAATAACAATAATATATAATAAATATAATTAATGACAAAAATTTACCTGATAAATAATTAATAATGAATATAGTATATAAAGTATTTTAATAATGATAATAAAATAATCAAACAGAAAATCTAATACTTAAATATAAGAAAAATAAACTATCTGAGAAAATAATATAATAAGGATAAAAAAAAAACCATATAAAAGAAAGAAATAATTATTAGAATATTAAAAAAAACTGAAAAAAAAGTAAAATATTAAATAGAAAAAATATATAATTAAAAATAAAAATGAAGAGGAATCATATAAAAATAAATTAAATAGTATTAAAAATAATAGTATAGATTGATTCTTGAATAAATAAAATTTGATTTATAAATAAATTCTCTTAATGATGAATAGCAAAAATGCATTAAGCAAGTATAACTTTTATTAAAGCTATTAAACTTATAAAATAACATACATTTATAAATTACAGATTTTGATAATTACATTGTTGATTTTTTTTAGTTTATTTTTATTAATATTTTATTTTTATTTTTTAAGTTTAATCAGATTCCAATCTTAGGCTAAAAATTGGATAGAATCTTTAAATAAAACTATTTAGTTATTATTATGATGAAGGTATGCTAATTAATTATTAATTTATTAATTTTTTTAATTTTTTTATTTTTATATATTTAGGTTAGATAAATGTCATCTCTGCTATTATTTAGGCTAAAATTTTTTAAACAGAACTGTCTGATTCATCATTGTAGTAAAAGTAAGCTGACTAATTTTTTGATTTATTTTTTTTTAATAATTAGTTTTGATTACTAATTTTATTTACTTTATCTTATTTATTTGATTGTTTATTTTAAATTTTTATTGACAATTATAAGTTAGATTATTAGTGATTTTTTTAATATATTGTTATATTATTATTTAATTAATTTTATTTTTTAGGCTAGATCAATTTATTTTTTCAGTTAGAATTATTAGATGAAACAGGATTTTCATTATTGCAGCATAAATTTTTAACAAATTTTTTGATTTTAAATATTAATAATAATGATCTTTATCACTTATGATTGTGGTTTCTTGATAAGAATCTACTTTTCTGTTATAGGAATTGTTATTGTTATATATTTTTTCTCAAATTACATTAATGAGTAGAAGTTTTTTTACTTTATAAGTATCTTTTAGCAATTTATAATTATATTAATAGAATTTAAAATATAAAGAAGATGAATGTTAAGAAATTCATAAGTTTATTTTTTAAAAATATATATATATAAAATTAAAATATATGGTAAATACTAAAAAAATAAATGAAAATTCTTTAAATTTACCAGTCAAATCCCAAAATCTAGTATCAAAATATTGTAATACTCTTCTTATAATGAGAATCTTTAGTTCATAATAATTTTAAATTCTATATAAAAAAGAAAAAAGAAAATTATATATAATGTATTTTTTTTTCATTAACATTCTTATCATTTTACTTATATCACTAAGGAATTAAATTTTCACTAACATTAGACTCCAGAAAATTTGTTGAATATTTCTTGTTAAGATTTTGCATCAGAGCAGTTCAAAATCTTTCTTGGACGTATCTTAAGAATTATGATATTCTTAAAAGTAATTTTACATATTGATATAATATATTAAATAATTTTATATAAAAATATTTACCATATTTTTATTTTTCCACTCTACAATAAGAGCGTCAGTAGCCTCTTTAGATGAAGCAACCTTAGTGAAAAATACGTCCCTTAATAAATTCAATTTATTAAGTACCTAATTATTTAAATTATTTAAATGACTTGATAAATCTCAGATAAAAAAAAAGATGTATATGTTATTATAAAAAGTGGTTTATAATTTGTAAGACACATCTAAACATTATTCACTTTTGATTGCCAGGATTTCTCTCTCAAAGTAAATTTTTACTTTGTACTCATTTGGTCCAATTATTGTCATCACCAATAGAAACCTCAAACATACTGCATAAACTTATTTTGTAAGCGCTCCATAGCCCAGCTATTATAACGATCCGTAAAGTGATTTTAATAGGTTCTCAAAATTTAAATATTTGATTACGTGGCATATTTGTATTAAGATGACTTTTTTTACAAAGAAACTTGATCGAAAAAATCGATTTATTTATATTATAACTTTCGCATTGGCCATGTGACATAAATTCTTTAAAATAGTATGTTTAATTGGTTATAAAAGATTATTATTATTCATATCTATAGTTAATCTACAATTAAGTTAGATCTAAGGGAATCGTTATTATCGTTTCGATTTTAGATGAATCAATTATATGAAATACCGAGGGGTAATCACATTTATTTTAAACAAAAATTCATATAGATTTCCATTATTATCAATAAATTATACCTTGAATTTTATTATTATTATATATTATTATTACCTTCGTTGTATTGATGAATTATTCATATACGGTATTTGATAGCATTTCTAATCGCGTAATTCAAGCAGAAAATGCTTCAAAATCAAATCTATATAATCATCTATTGGAAATATGGTATGTCATTAATATCCGTTGGTAATATCTATTAACATTATAATTTACACACCTTAAATTGTGAAAATCATAGATTTATCAATTTAATATTTTATATCATAACAAATATTGTCTCTAAATCGAATACATAAAATATAAGACTATTGTATAGCAGAATTTCTTTCATTTAAATTATTCAAAATTATTTCTCATATCAAATGCGATAATATCAAATTAGGTTAGAAGTATATATAATAATATGAGTAATATGTTAAATCAAAGAAATTTAACGTCACTTTCGGGAATAAATAATGTAGATTCATACAACTTTTTTTTCTTTTTAGGATTGATGAAGCGATTAAAAGTAAAATTATTTAGGATTTGAATATGATTCATATCTTTTTTTTATTGTATGGGTTGACTAATTTCAAATGGATGGAGAAAGAGTTCACTAATCATTTTCTAAATGAAGCGAAAAAGTTTATTTATACTTCTCGTGCTGATACTTTGAACCTGCATTAATAAAGTTTATAGAAGAGAAATTATGTATTAGTTTAAATAAAGACGAAATAATTTATAAATTAATTCATATTTCATGTTATTGGAAAGGATTAATGTAGGGTGGAGAATTAAAAGGTTCGCCCGAGAAAATTTGCAATTCATCTCAATATCTAATTTTTTCCATAGTTGTCAATCAACTCCAAGCTTTTTGAACAAAATTGTGGAATCAGTATTTCTCTTCTTATAAAAATTATACCAGAAATCTAAATCTCTATATTAAACAGTTGTGATTTGAAGGAAGCCGTTCCTCTGTTTGCTGAATTATTCCAAGAAATCGATTAGTATTGTCATGAATTAATGGAATAATTTTCGATTTTACCTTAAGTATTACAAAGCATACTTTATGTAATAAAACATACTATTTGAAAATATCGGCTTTCTTGAAGACGTCAAATTTTTCGCAATTTTGTTTGAATAATTCAGTATTTCATGTCGCTATTGAAAATATTCTTAAAGAAATTTTAATTTTAATAAATTTCACCTACTTTCCTCCAGATAAGGATTTTTACGAAGAAATCTGGTCTTTCACCGAAACTATTGGTTTATTCCATAAAGTGTAAAGTAAAGCAGTGCGGTTTATTTTCGACAGCGAACCATATATGAATTAAACTTTTTGTATTTTTTTTTTTAATATTTTTACAGGTTAACGTAAATACATTCTATTTACTACCCAATTTACCTATGATGTTTGAGCATTATGTATCTATAAGGATATTAATTGAGGAGTAAATGTAGTAGATAATTAACAAATATATGAGAATGTGCCGATGCCAAAAGATCTAAAGTGAGCAGTAATTTTGATAATGAGTTTGGTGGGATTATATGGGACCTTTGCAATAGAAAGGGGGGAAACAGCCGGACTTGTCACGTTTTGCTTAACCTAATATGTAGAAGTTAATTGTTTTCTATTTTTTTTGGAATTTAACCAATAAATTCATTCAATTTACAGCCTTTTTTTTTTTGAAATGACACTGCGGGTTACTCAGGCGCAACGATCGATGATTTTTAAAAAAAAATCTTGCGCCCCTTTTTTTTCTTTAGATTCCTCTTCGAAATTGGATGAATAAATGCTTTCGTTGTTTTATTTTTATGTTACTCCAAAATTATTTTATACTTTATTAATTAAACTGTATATAAAAGAAAAAATTTTGAAATAATTAAAAAATAAAAAAATATGTACTTTGATAAGATGAAATTAAAATAAAACTAATGTGGCTAACTCAACTATCGAAATCCGTCGAAATTCTCATTGAAAATAAAGAATTTTTTTTTTTTTGTTTATAAAAAAAAAATATATGAAAATAAATAAATTTAAAAGTAATAAAATAAATGTAATGAGCGCCGAATCGGGTAAGTATTTTAAAAATAAAATCACCTGTGTCTTTTTCTTGATTTTTAGACAGTGACAAGGCGCAGCGTCGAATCGGGTAAGTATTTAAAAATTTTTTTTTCTATATATTAAACCACTTTCCATTAAGCTAGCACAAAGCAAACTTGTCCCAATTTCGCTAAAATAAAAATACTGCACTTACACCAATTGACGACGCAATATAATCTTTAATAATTGTTCAAATATTAGAAAGATTAAATGGTAAAGAATATTTATAAAATGTCTAAATACTAGAATTTACTATAAACCATATTAATTAATTTCAAAATTTTCTTAAAAATAAATACATTATAATAGAACAGCTTCAAATACTCCTACATTAAAAGAATTAAATAGTAAATAACTTTATTTATCTATTATTTATTTATATAATTATTTAATAATTATATTATTTTTTTAAAAAAAAAATTAATATGATAATACTTAGATTGTAAACATTAATTTTTTATTATATAAATTTTTGTAATTTATATTTAATTAAATTATTATTCAAAAAATATTCAATAATTAATAATATATAGGGAGTAATTATTTATTTTTTATATTTAAATTTAAACTTAATTTATTATATAAAATCTTTAATAATAATTTATAATATTTTAGTTGGTAAATTATTTATATTTATAATTTTTAATTTATATTTATTAAAATTTATAAATAAAATCTTAATAATTTAGATGGTAAATTATTTTTATTAATTTAATTAATTATATTTATTATAATTTAATAAAAAATATTAATATTTTTTATAAAAATTATAGAAAGTAAGATATTGATTAATAATTATATTTTTTATTATAATTTAAATCTAATTAAATATTTTATTTAAAAAAATTTAATAATACCATAGATAGTAAGTTATTTTTATTAATTATCAGTATTTAATTATACTTCTTATTGTAATTTAAATCAAACAAATTTTTTATTAAAAAATAATTAATATAATAATATATAGTAATTTATTTTTATTGATTATTAGTATTTAATTATATTTGTTATTATAATTTAAAATCAATTAAATGTATTTAAAAAAAAAAATATTATCAGAACGTAAGTTATATTTTTCAATTATTAGTATTTAATTATACTTGTTATTGTAATTTAAAATTTTTATTAAAAAAAATGAAATTTATTAGAAAGTAAGTTATTTTTATTAATCAATTACACTTATTACTATAATTTAAAATAGCTAAATTTTTAATTAAAAAAGTAAATTTATTAGAACGTTGAAACTGACAAAAACTGATGAATCTGTCAAATATGATATATATGTTAAATATGACATATCTACCAAATAGGACATATTTATAATTTATATCATTTCTATTATTATTATCATTACTATTATTTATTTCATATTTAACATAATTAGTATATCTGTTAACTCTGTTATTATTGTCAATAATACCATTATTACCATAGATTTTTTTTAATTGTAATTTTTTTATATAAAGGGCATGAAAATACATTGGAAAAAGAACAGATTCTAATATTGTATTCAATATATATTTAAAAATAATAATAAACAACATTAACATTTTGCTAACATATAAACTTATAACTTTATTTTTGTTAATTATATAAACTCTTTAACTAACAATGTATTAAGTTGATTGGATTTAAATCATAACTATTACCTTTCTGACTTTAAATTATAGTTAACTTATTTAACGAATAGAGTAACGTTAATAATGTAATATTAATTTTATTAATTATTGATATTTAATTATACTATTACTACTATTACTATAATTTATAATTAACTAAATTTTACTTAAAAATAAATTTTATTAGCATATAAGTTATTTTATTTATTATTAATATTTAATTATACTTGTTATTGCAATTTAAGAATTTAAAGATAACTTAATTTATATTTTTTAAAAAATAAATTAATAATTAAAGATTGTAGGTTATTTTTAATAATTATTAATATTTAATTATTATAATTTAAAATTAACTAATTTTTATTTAATAAATAATTAATAATATAATAGATTGTAAATTAATTTATTGATCATTAATATTTAATATACTTATTATTATAATTTAAAGTTAATTATATTTTTTATTTAAAAAAATAAATTTTATTAGGGTGTAAGTTATTTTTATTGATTATCAGATTTAATTACACTTGTTACTAGTACCGTAATTTAAAGTTAACTAAATTTTTTATTTTAAAAAATAAATTTTATTAGTTAGTAAGTTATTTTTATTAATTATCTGTATTTAATTATACTTATTACTATAATTTAAAGTCAACTTAATTTTTTATTTAAAAAATCCTATAGATGGTAAGTTATTTTTATTGATTATCAATTTTTAATTATATTTATTATTATAATTAAAAAATAAAATATTAATGCATAAATTATTTATTAATTATAGTATTTTAATTATACTTATTACTATAATTTAAAGCTTATTAAATTTTTATTTAAAAAATAAATTTTATTAGTTAGTAAGTTATATTTATTTATTAATAATATTTTATTTTACTTATTACTATAATTTAAAGTTAATTAAATTTTTTATTTAAAAAAATAATTAATAATATAATAGATAGTAAGTTATTTTTATTGATTATTAGTATTTAATTATATTTTTTACTATAATTTAAAGTCAACTAAATTTTTTATTTAAAAAATAATTAATAAAATAATAGAAGATAAGTTAATTTTATTATTATCAGTTATTAATTATATTTTTTATTATAATTAATGTTTATTAAATTTTTTATTTAAAAAAATAATTAATAAAATAATAGATGGTGATACCATATGAAGTCAATCTTACTGCATTACAAAGATTGATGAATGATCAACATTATTAACATCATTAACATTTTTAACTTAGTTAACATTTTTATTTTATTATTTTATTCTTATATTTTATTATCATTATTTATTATATTATTATCATTATTAAATTATAAATTATCTTTTATATTTATCTTATTATTGTAAAATAATTTAGCGTTAAATAGCAATTTCTTATAATTATATTTTTGTATAAATAGGGTAGAAATTTGTCCTTGCAAAAGGGTAGAGATAACAGTGTAAACTCAATAGTTTAAGTTTAAGACTTAGAATCTAAGGTTAAGGATTACTAAGGATACAAATCTCTACAATAAAGGAATTTTTTTTTAAAATTACACATATTAAAAATCCTTCAACGTATCAATTGTGTTTATCGTATTTACAAGTTATTAAAGTTATTTACTTATCTAAAAGAATAAACTCAAGGTTGATTGTGATAGAACTTATTCTACAGTAACTTAGTAGTTTTTTGCACGTTACTCCCTGTTATTAAGTTATAGTTATTCTAAGTTCAATGGGCTGAGCGTAAGGTTAACAATGATAAATTAATTTTATTATTATCAGTTATTAATTATGCTTTTTATTATAATTAATATTTACTAATATTTTTATTAAAAAAATAAATTTTATTAGAATATAAGATATTTTTATTAATTTTTAATTATATTTATTATTATAATTTAAAGCTAATTAAATTATTTATTTAAAAAATAAATTTTATTAGAAAATAAGTTATATTTATTGATTCATTATATTTGTTACTATAATTTAAAGTCAATTAAATTTTTATTTAAAAAAATAAATTTTATTAGTTTATAAGTTATTTTTTTGATTATTAGTATTTAAATATATTTATTATTATAATTTAAAGTTAACTAAAATATAATTTTAAAATATAAATTTTATTAGTTAATAAGTTAATTTATTGATTATTAGTATTTAATTATATTAATTACTAAAAATAGTTTTTATAATTATTTTTGAAATTTTAATTGAATTATAACTTAATTGTATTATAAGTAAATTTAATTATACTACAAGTTGTAACTTAACTATATGATTTGTTTAATTATAATATCTATCTTTACTTATTATTATAATTTAAAGTTAACTAAGATTTTTTATTTTAAATAATAGTTTGTAAGTTATTTTTATTAATTATCAATATTTAATTATGCTTATTACTATAATTTAAATTTTACTAAGTTTTATATTAAAAAAAATAAATTTTATTAAGGTGTAGATTATTTTTAATAATTATTAATATTTAATAATATTTATTATTGTAATTTAAAGTTAACTAAATTTTTTATTTAAAAAATAAATTATTAGTACGTAAATTATATTATTGATTATTAGTATTTAATTATATATGTTATTATAATTTAAGTTAACTAAATTTTTATTTAAAAAAATAATATTTATTAGCAAGTAAATAATTTTTATTGATTATTAATATTTAATTTTATATATTACTAAAATTTAAAATTACTAAATTTTTAAAAAAATATATTTTATTAACAAATAAGTTATTTATATTAATTATTAGTATTTATACTTATTACTATAATTAAAAGTTAACTAAATTTATTTAAAAAATAAATTTATTAGAAAGTGTGTTACTTTTATTGATTATAATATTTAATTATAATTATTACTGTAATTAAAAATCAATTAAATTTATTTAAAAAAATAAATTTATTAGAGGGTGAGTTATTTTAATTGATTATAATATTTTATTATACTTATTACTGTAATTTAAATCAACTAAATTTATTTTAAAAAAACAAATTTATTAGAAGGTAAATTATTTTTATTGATTATATATAATATTTAATTATACTTGTACTATAATTTAAAATCAATTAAATTTTTATTTAAAAAAAATAATTAATAATTAATAATTTAGATTGTAAGTTATTTTTATTAATTATTAATATTAAATTATTTTTACTATAATTTAAAGTCAATTAATTTTTTATTTATAAAAATAAATTTTATTAGTTCATAAAATATTTTATTAATTATTAGTATTTAAAAATACTTATTATTGTTCAAATGATACATATATTATATATTTAACATATATCACTTTTATGATTTTTTGTGTAGTTAAAAATTATTTAAGATGTAGTTCAATTTGCGATTAACAATATAAAAGAGCTAGGGTATATTAAATTTATGTCTAAAAATTTTAAATTTTTAGCTGAATTTTTTCCTGCTTTTTATATTTAAACTGAAATGAAGGCAGTTTTGAAAACTATCAACTCAAAAAACAATTTGAACTATGATGAATCTTATAATAACAAGAAAAATACTATAATATATTATAGTCTGATTTTAGGATAATGAAAGTCCTTAGCTTTGAATTATTAGCCTTCTGTAAACTAATTTATAAACTGATTAAAATTCTTTCATATATCATATCAGTCAATTTAAAGAATAAAAAAAAGTGAAAAGATCATTTAGAGCTGCGGCGAATTTATAATAATAATTAAGTACATAATGTAAGCAAATTGAATATATTTTGAATTTGGGTCTATTTGAATCAATAATTTATTATTATTTATTATTTATTAGAAAACAGCTTGGCAAGTAAAGGCCACAAAGAATTTGTTTAAGAATAATAATAAATGAATTATAAAATACAAAAGGTAACTTTTACTTTGAATATTCAGCAATCACCAATATTATTCATTAGAAATCAATAAAATAGACAAAGAAAATTTTCAAAGTCTATTATTATTGTATATGATTAATTTTAGCAATTGGCTAAAATTTATTATTTTCTTTATTTAATTTAGTATATTTTAAATTTATTTAATATAGTTCACTAATATTCTTTCTCATTTTCTTCTTTTAGCTAAAATATCTACTTAGACAAATACTCAATCCTAGTACTGTATCATTATCATTATCTCAAATTCAATGAAAATGAAAATACAATAATGATATGCAGTATTATAACCGATTATATTTATATAATACTTTAAATGATCATATAAAATACAATCTGATATAATTTATTAATAATGAAATTATAACAGGTATTACAACTACTGAAGAATATATAATCAAAATGAAGAATATATTGAAATCAGAAGGGATTTAATCTGTTATTGAAGAAAGTAAAATGATCTTATAATAAATGATAGTAAATAATGAATTTTAGGTGATTTAGAATAAAAACAGATTGATTTTTTATTATTTTATTATTATCTTTATGTTTTTTAGGCGATTTAAGATAAAAACAGATTATTTTATTATTATTTTTACATTTTTTGAGATGATTTTAGGTTGATTTTTCTATTTTTATATTTTTATATTTTATATTTATTATTTTACATTTTTTTAGGTAATTTCAGAAGAAAAAGATCATATTTTTATCATATATTATTTATTTATTTATATTTAAGATGAATTTGAAAGGAAAATGTATCATATTTTTATTATTTTATTATTCTATTTTTAATAAAAATTAATCAGTAAGTTTTAGTAATATTTTTGTTATATTTTTACAAATTTATATTAGGTTTTTATTATTAATAAAATTATAATATTTGATAAATTTAATAAATAAAATATATAATTTTATATACTTATTAATTGCCTAATTGAACTCAATTTATATTGATTAGCATAGTAGATTGATATTGATCAATATCTGAATTATTGCTAAATTAAAGCCAATTTAGACTGATTTATGATTTAATTTTAGTTCTAAATTGATACTGAATGGTTATATCTGATTAGAATCGATCAGTATCTATAAATATATATTTATGTATATTAAAAATTATAGTAAATTGTCCATAAATAATATTAAATAGTCTAAAATCAGCTATTAAATTTATAGCCAATTTGAATTATTTTGATTAGTAAAAAAATTTAATTTTAATTCTTCATTAGAACTTATACTGATCTGATTTCAACTTAAGGCTTAAAAGATCTGAGCTGTTCTACAAATATAAATTAATGTTAGTTATTTTTTTATAATAATAAAAAAAAATAAAACTAAACAAAATATTCTCATTCTATTAGGACATACTTTTGATTAAAGTTTATAGATTTTAGATCAGTTTACAAAGATAAGTGAATATTTTTTTTTTAAAAAAAATTAAATATATATATATATATATAAAATTCTGTTATAGTTTACCTTTAACTATATACTTCAAGAATCTTAATCAGTCTATAAATGTAAATTGATATTAGTTTTTTTTAATTTATTGAATTTTTATAAAATCAAAATAAAAAATAAAATAAATAATAAAAAAAATACTAATAGAGCTTATCTATGATTTGATTTTAATCTAAGTTTTCAAGTATAATTAACAAAGCAAAGTTAAGTTTAATGTGATCTTTTTTAATTATAAAAAAAAATAAATTTATTTTAAGCTTTCAAATCGATAAATAGTATGATTTTATTTTAAAAAATAATGTATTACTAATAAATTTAATTTCTATTTAGTTCTAGTTTCAACTAATCTATAAAGATAAGTTTAGTATTATATTTTTTTTTAAAATAAAGAAATGACTTAAAAACTCTAAAGTTCTTAAACTTTTCAAGTTTGAAGATCTAAAGAAATAAAGTTACCTTTATCATCTATCTGATCTATCTAATAGATAAGTATAATAGTTTTCTTATGATTCACAGAATACTGCAAAATTTTTCTTAAATACATTTAATTACAATATTCATTTTAATCATTGTATAATATCACAGAATTTAAAAATTCTAAAATTTTCATTATAGAAATTACAGAATCATATGATAAGGTCAAATTTTAATCAATAATCAAAGTTTATATTTTATTTTTATTTTACAAATTAAGTTAGAACTTTTAGCAGTTATAGTAATATGTAAAAAAAGTATCCATAAATACTTATATTAATGAACTTTCTGGTATTTTTAGAGAGGATGAAAGTATTATGTTTTACAATTTTTATAACTTTTCAGTTAAATGGAAGTTAAAATTTACTGTAAATATATATTATATTTCAAAAGGACATATTAAAAAAAAAAGTTATGAAAATAATAAGCAAAAAAAAAGCCACCATTTTTATAATTAACAATATACTGAATCTAGAAGGGAAGTTATAGATGATTTAATTAAAACCTTTTTCTTTGCAAATTTCTCTTTGAAAAAAGTAAATCAACTTCTTTCTTTTTTTAAAAAGCATCTTAGAGATGATGCAATTCCTCAAGCTCTTAACCTTCGTCAAATATATTTACCTAAATGTTTTTAATAAACATTTTTCTTTATTTTAAAAGTATTTTAATCAAAATCTGTAGCAATAATAATGGATGAGATCACAGATGAGAAATACTTTTAACCATTTTAATCATTATAATATTTCCTATTTTTTATCAAGATTATTTCTTTCAGATTCTGCAGCATACATGAAAAAATGCTATAGAGAAGTTTTAAAACCAATAATGTCACAATTAATTCATATGCTATATTTAGCTCACATTATAAATCTCATTGGGTAAATATAAATAAATTTATTAAATTTTGAAATTATTTAAAATTTTATAATAATTTTCATTGATATATATCTTTTTTTAATAGTGATACTTGGAGAACTTATCCAGATTTTAGACTTTTAAAATTATTATTATCAAAAATTAAGGAGACATTGTAAATGTACCAGCATGAAAAGGTGTTACAGAATTTTCTAATCCATCAAATGAACTATTAAGAGAATGGTCAATTTATTGTGGATTAACAAATGAATTAATTGAAGAATATATAGACCTTAATGTTTTTTGGATGGGAATGCAATTTAACTTACCAATTTTATCAAAAATTGCATTGGATTATATTTGGCTTCCGATCTCTAGTTGTAGTGTTGAGCGTAGTTTTTCTTTGTACAATAACCTTTTAAAGTGGTCGTCAAAATCTTTCGTGCGAATCATTAAAAAGACTAAATATGTTGTATTTTAATAAAAATAATTGATTTTAAAGCGAACTATATTATTTATTTATATTAAAATAAATCACATAAAATCACCGAATTGATTTAAATCATCACAGAATTAAAACAGAATGCATCAAAATCGGTGTCACATGATATACCTCACGCAGAATTTGGTTTTTATCACCGCAGAAAATCATCGTCCCTGCTGACGGATAATCTGACCTAACCTGTTGTGTAACTTGATCTTCATAAATCCGATTGCTGGATCGACAGGATCTTATCGTTTTTTACAATTTCCTTTGACATTTACGTTAAAATCTCAAAATTCAGTGTTATGTCCTCACTTGAAGAACAACTAGTTAAAAAGATTCGTTTAAATTCAGTAGGGTCTGTCCCATCAAATTATGTAATAAATAATAAAGCCAGTTCAGAAGGAAAGATGACTCGTGAAGGGGATGTTGGAATACTGAGTTTGATCCAACAATTCCTGGATTCTGGTGATATCAAACAAAGGTAACTAATACTAATATTTATAATTTATCGAATTATCTTGTTAATCATTATTAATTGTCTAGATTTTTTGGTTAATGAAATTGATATTTCCGGGAATATCGTTCACCTTATAGATTTCAATCTTCCAGAATTAAAATCTACAAATATTAATAAAATTAATTTTTAATAATATATTCTCATTAAAAAAAGAATCATATTTAAATAATGATTATTTTTTTAACAGGTTCTTCCTTTAGTGTCTCAATGGCTCGAACATTGATAGGAATTATCAGATGAATAAATATTTCAGGAAATGAGAACTTTGCTTGATGAAGAAACTTCATTACAAGTTCAAAATTTACTAAATGATAAAAATAATTTCGTTGATACAACGGTAAATATTATCTTATTTATATTTTTTAAATCATTTTCTAAAATTTTAATTTTTTTAAGGTTGAAAAAGATAAAGAAAAGAGGCAGCTATTCATCAATTCTTTAAGAATTATTTTGGCGATAAATTGACACAGAGACAAAAGATGGTACAATAAGGATCAAATATGCACAATAACGAGACAAGGAAAGGTTAATAAGGAGTATTTCTTTATTTTTTCACTTTTTACAAAATGAATAACTTTATACATTTATTTACAGACAAAAGAAATGAGCAGCAAAAAATGACGCTTGAGATGCATTGAGTGGAAGTTTTGTCAGTTTACTTTATATAAAAAAATATGGATACTATGGACCGTTAACTCTTTGAAAAAGCTCTTAAAGTGTGGCTTTCATCAACTTTTCAAAGTTAATTTGTTAAATTTTATTAGACTTATATATATATATTTATTTATTTATTTATTTATTTAGAATTCATTCAAAAACATTTTCTTATGCTGGTACGAAACCATAAGCGCACAGAAGATAACCGCAAATAGGATGAAGGCTGAAAGATTGTTTAGAATAAATCAAAAATCAAGAGGAATGAATTCATGTATCATAATTATTTATTGAATTTTAAAGAATTTTTTTTTGATTGATGCATTAGATACTTTAAGGATCCATTGAAACTTGGTGATTGGGAGGGAATCATTTTTAATTACATTAAAGTACCACGATCCGGAGGTAATTTTCGTTCTAAGAAGGTCTACTTGATGATTTAATTAAAAAAAAGAAATTTTATTTTCTAATAATATCTTGTTTAGATCTCAGGATCTTCAAACATTGGATAGAGAATCATGATGCGAAAAAGGCATTATAATTCCCAAAAAAAATGCATTGCAGAGACTTATATTTAAATTATTTTACAAAAACTGGTCAAATTAACGATTATGCTGCAGCTTTTGCGGCAGTAAGTTAAATTACTAATTTCATAAAAAGAATTTGATTAAAGGATTTATCTCATTTAGATACCAAGAAATTTACGTCTTGTGTATGTACATGCGTATCAATCATATGTCTGGAGTAGTATTGTTTCGTAGAGGATACGTATATATGGTTATGATGCTCAGGTCGTAAATGAAGATCCGGATGCGAATAAATGGTGATTTTGATTTAATATATTGATACAGATTATAAGAAGGTGATTATAATTATTTATATAAATTTCTTATCAATGTTCAATATATTTTAACAATATTTTTTAATTAGGAAATTAAGGTTAAAGTTACTCGCTGAAGAAGATTTAAAGAACATTCAATATTTAATGTGGTGTTACCTTTACCTCGATATTTCCGAATAACATCATATATCAAATTCTTATATTCTGATTGTAAATATTCTTTTTTCATTTTTTTTTTTTTTTTAAAAAAAGAAAAACAGGAATGTGGACACTTGATCCAATCGACGGCACAAAAGGATTTTTACGTTGCGAACAATTCGCAGTTTGTTTAGTATCACTTGTAGATGGTAAAGTACAATTAGTGTTATGGGATGCCCTAATTTACCAGTAGATTCTAAAGTTCAAGAGTGAGAAAAAGGTTGCGGAAAAAGGTCAAGCAGTTTTCAGGTATTATTAATATTACATCATTGGTCATTTTATTCATTTTAATTTATTCGAGTATTTATACATTTATTTTGATAATAGAGGAAATTTTCTTCAACGGAAGAAACGAAAATCCAAATGGCCAATATTTCTTCGGTACTAGAAGCATAATTTCGTGAATCGGTTGAAGTAGCACATTCATCTCATGGGGATGCTGCAAAAATAGCTTCACTAATAGTTATTACTAAATCACCTAATCGTATGGATAGTCAATGAAAATATTGTTCAGTGGCTAGAGGTGATGCCGATGTTTACCGACCCGAGATGTTTACGAAGAGAATTTATGGTAAACCTTCATTGTTTTATTTATTTTTTTTATACGTAAGGTATGATGAATTTACATTTATTAATGAATATCTTTTAATATATACATAATAGGATAGGATCATTCGTCCGGAGCTTTCTTGGTTCAAGAAGCTGGTGGTATAGCTTCAGACATTTATTCAAAACCATTAGATTTTATTTAGGAAGAAATTGTACAAGTGCTTATGAAAAAAACATTTGATTTGAAATTATTACTTTTAAAATTATTGGTCTTTAATTTCTTAATTACTATGATATTAAGGATTTTAATTTTTTTTTTTTTTTGTTTATTCAAACTTTTTATTCAATAAATTATGATTTTTATGACATAAAACTCTATGTTATAAAATTCAAAAAAAATATAGGGGACACGTGTTTTAAATTGAAGACGTAGATCGATTGATGCGATATGCCTCAACTCGTGTTTTTAAATCACATAATAGAGAAAGATAAAGAGGGAAAAGACATAGACCGGTTAGCTGATTTTTTTTTTTTTATTCCATGTGGATTAGTGGATTAGTATTTTTTATTCGAAGAACCAAATTGAGGAAAAATAAACCCATTCCAGAGACTCGACGTAAATAAAAATGTTACTGCGCCAACTTCATTCATGTGGCCTCTATAATCGTTTAACAATGGGAAGTTTGGATATACTTTCATGATTACTTTGACTCGTTTCATGCAAAAAGTATGTGAATATGACGTAAATCTGAAAAAATAATTCTCGTTCAAAAAAAAATAAAGTTTATTTTTTCATGCGATTCACTTTTGAAAAAAATTCGCGTCCAAAAATATATCAAAGTTTATTGTTTCAAGAAATAATTCACGTAAAAGATTGTTTCATGCATGAAACAAATAAAATTTTTTTTTCAAATTTGTCATAATCACAGACTTTTCCATGAAACAATAAACTTTTACATGAGTCATAATCACATAATTCACATGAAACAAATCAAATAAACTTTTTTTTTCAAAAAAATGTGATGACTCACGTAAAAGTTTATGCAAAAAAGTATGTGATTATGACAAATTTGAGAAAAAAAAAAATTCACGTATCTTTCGTTAACAAAAAAAAAAAAAATCTTTTTCTTCCTTTAACAATAAAAAAAAAAATCTTTTCTTCCTTTAATAAAACAAAAATTTTTTCTTCCTTTAACTATAAAACAAATCTTTTTCTTCCTTTACCGATAAAAAAATCTTTTTCTTCCAGTAACGATAAACAAAAAAATCTTTTTCAGTAACAAAAAAAATCTGAACGACAAAAATAAAATTTTTTCTTTAAACAAAAAAAAAAAAAAAATTTAGAAAACGAAAACTTATCGAAAACATGGAAAAAGGTAGAGTTTCTTTTTTCTTTCAAAAATGAGAGTGAAAGTGAAATGTCTCTCCTTCGCTTCCTTCGTGGAAGTTTCCTTCGCTTCCTAGCTGGAAGTCTTTCATTTCCTTGAAAATGCTTGATGAAGGTCTATCGTTTTATAATAGAAATGGTTATGATTTCCTTCGTAAAAAATCAAAATTTTTCATGGAAATTTTCTCTCTCTTTTCATTTCCACTCTCATTCCTTTTGATTGACATTTGAAACTCTACTTCTAACCTCAATTGTTTGTTTTTTAAAGTTATTAGACATAACTGCTGTGCTAAAGCAGAATGTTCCGTTTATGTGGAAGGTGCAATCCAAGGTATAACCTTCATTGATTTGCAGAATTGGGTCCGAAATATTACCAACCTACCATTTGTACATATTAAGGAAAGGAAGGAACTTGGGTAATTATACTTGATATAAATAACTTTAATTGATGGTTGTAATTTTAATCAATTGTTAATAAATGAGAGTTGATTATAGATTCGCTCACATTCACTTCAAAAACCATCACGACTCGAGTGTTTTTTTTCGACAAATGGAGGGTAGAATATTTGATGGTCCGCAAGGAAAAATCAAGTTTAAAGAATCGTTGCAGTACGATTTAATCAATAAAGTTCAATATATCGATTTTGTAAGATTTTTTTTTTATTGCATAGTATTTTTCATTTTTTTACCGTAATTCAATCAATTTTTTTACTTTACAGAACGTACCCGGTGAAGAGCCAAACCCTACCGAAGAGCAGGTAGAACAACTGTAACAATATATCCAGCTTCCTGAATATCTTCCATATTTTCTATGATGTAATTTAATCACTTTTTATTTAACAAATATAGGACGTACCCAATGAAGAGCCAAACTCTACTGAAGAGCAGGTAGAACCAGGGCGACAAATTCTCCAGCTTCTTGAAAATATTCCGTTTCTGATCACAAATTATCTTTTTTTTTTACTTTACAGAACGTACCCAATGAAATGCCAAATCCTACCAATGAACAGGTAGAACAGGTGCACAAATCTCCGAATATTTTCTATTATGTAATTTTAAAAAAAAAGCCCGCAAAAAAACAGTTTTCGATACGATAAATTTCTGCCATTTTTTACTAAAAAAATATAGGAAGTACCAGACAATGAACCAAACTTTATAGAACTGGTACGACAAATTCTCCAGCTTCTTGAAAATTTTCCGTTTCTGATCACATACTATTATCTTTTTTTTTACTTTACAGAACGTACCCAGTGAAGAGCATAACCCTACTGAAGATCAGGTAGAACCGGTGCGACAAATTATCCAGCCTGTGGAATCTTTCCATATTTTCTATGATGTAATTTATCCATTTTTTTTTTTACTTATTTATTATAGGATGTATGTACCCACCGAAGACGAAAATCATGAGCAGCAGAAACTTGAAAAAATTCTTGAAAAATCTGAAGAGGATATACGAACTAAGTACCTGTTAAATAGAATCAAAAATTTAGAAGATTCTTTCGAGAATGAGGTATAATTGTTGATTTCGTAATATTTTTGATTAAAAAATAAATTAATTAATCTTTATATTATTAGAAAGTCCATTCTCTTCAATTAGAAAATAAATTCAACACACTCAAACGAAGAACAGAAGAACTTGAATTAGAACTTCTAATAATCAGAAATGGAGACCCAAGAAAAAAATAATGGAACATGAGAAATATTCTTTATATGCAATACATTTTAATGTAGAATAATTTTAACGTTATTTCTTTTTGCTAGTTTTCGTAAAATTGAACATTTTTCTTTTTTTAGTAATTTTATCAAATTGAAGTTTTCATTTTTCATTTTTTGTAATTTTTCGTTATGCTATTACTTTTTTATAATTTTTCGTAATATATCCATATAATAAAATCTTAAATTGAAGTAATAATATATATAATTATTAATGAACACTATGAATACGTTACTGAAAGACTTGTTGAAAGTATTAAAACTGAACTGAATCAACTGTCCGAGAGATTATGATAAAGCCCGGGAACCAACAAAAACTATAACAAATTCTATAGGTGAGGAAAGTTTTCATTTAGGACAGACAGTCCAAGGTTAATGTCCAAAAAAAAATAATGTCCAGGATATTTATACAATAAAAATTAATCTGATAATTTAATATGAAACTTCCGTCCTGTAATTTATGACGCAGTTCATTATTTATTCACCAGGGGTAATTCTCAACTTTTTATCACTTACATCTTCTGATACATGAGGAACACAAAAGCGAATTTTTAACTTAAGTTCACAAATATCTTAGGTAAAGGACAAATAAATTACTCGTGTGGGTTTTTGTTCAAGGCGATATTGATTTTACTAGCCTTACTTATAGTAGCATATGGCGACCTTTGCAATAGAAGGGGGGGAGGGGGGGGAATCATACGCCAAATATGACATTCAGGCTGAGAAATGTTCAGATTTTGCATTTACTCATTATTTCTTTTTTCGCCGCCTTCTATTGCAAGGGTCCCAAATAAGTGGTGGGATGCATGATAAATTCTCATAAATTTGTGTGGTAAGTAAACATATACTACATACAAACGTTAAAATATTTTATGATAAACCTACTTAAGATTTTTAATTTAAAACCAAATGTTTTTCCTTTTAAAAAATTGATAAGAACCTTCGTATCAAATTCTTTCCCGACTTTGAACGAGGAGTACTTGTAAATATTTTCGGTAAGGAAAAAGAATTCAAAAAAGATTTAATTCGTAAAAAGTGATGTAATTGATAACCCGTGAAATATGTTTTTAGAGATGTCACAAAGAGTAAAAAAAGAATTTAAAAATTAGTTTATTTATTTTTTTTTTTTGTCTATGTATAAATTATATAAATTTTTAAAGAAAAAAAAAAGAGTTGGCATTTATTAAATTAAGCTATTGTATTAAAGGAATTTACAAAATTAATCGGAAAAATATCCGGTTTTAAAAAAATTTACCGGAGTTGTAATAAATCTTTATTAAATTTAAATCTTCCGTTTACATTTTGAATTCCAAATTTCTAGAGCATGAATAAAATCAAATTCTAATAAATCTATATCATCTAATCCTATCGTCATTAATAAATTTAAAGTTTCATTATTTAAATTGTTTCTCAAATCTGTTTTGATTAAGTTTTGCTTTGAGAATACTCTTTCACACTCCACACTTGAAAAAGGAATTGAGTAAATAATACTCAATAATTTTAATATATTTGGAAAATCTTCATAATAATTTTTAAATAATTTTGGGAGTAATAATTCCAATTTTGTTGTCTTATAATTAGCATATATTATTCGAACCCGAGTTTTTTTTTGATAGATCGCAGATAATTAATTTTATTGCAGAACTAGCTGTAACTCGTTGCTTCACGCCGGGGCCAATGAGTTGGATTAATTATATATATTAATACATCTTGAAATAAAATTCCGATTCGCTTTTATAAGTGATGTTTATATAATCTAACTTTTGTTTTAATTAGGGTGAAAATAAATAAATAAAGTAAATAAATAAAGTAAAAATTTAAAAATGAAAAAAACAAAGCCTAAGAAGGGAAGGGTGGGGTTCTGGGGGGGGGGGGTACTCGGTACCCTCAGAAAAATTTTTTTTTGCATATTAAAAAAATAAGTAATTATATCTACTGTTGACAAAAACAAAAAAAAAATTTTTCAAGAAAATTTATTATATTAATCTATCATTACAAAAAAAAAAAATTTATCTCAAAATAAAAAATTCATTATAGTGATCTATTATTACGAAAAAAATTAATGAAACATATTATTATCACTAAAAAAAAAATACTATTATTTATTAGGATTAGTATTTTTTCACATTAGTAATTAATAATGATGTTTTAAAAAAAGAAAAGTAATTTTAAATTTATAAGCGTCAATTTTTAAAAATTAAATTATTAAAACTTATTTTATTACAGAGCGACGATTTTTTTTAAAGAATTTATTTTTAAAAATTATTTTGCTTTAGTGTGACATTATTCTTTTTTTAATAAAAAATTAATATAAAATTTATTTTATTACGGGAAGGGACGAATTTTTTTTTTTAGAGAATTTATTATTAAATTTATTTTGCTTTAGTGACGATGTTATTTTAAAAATCATTTATTTTTTTTTACTACGGAGACGACGGTTTTTTTTAAAGAATTTTTTTTTTTAAAATTAAAAATAAAATTTTAAAAACTATTTTAAAAATTATTTTACTAAGCTGAAATAGAGGTTGGAACCGGCCGAAAAATTCTTTAACCGGTTCCAACCTCTAAGCTGAAAATTTTGTTTTTAAATAATTTAGTTTTAGAGGTATCAAAATTCTTTTAAATAAAATTTTTTTACTAGTGACTTTTTTTTTTTTATTTTGCTAGAGGTAAACAAGTTTTTTTTTTTTTTTTTTTTTTTTTTTTGGGGAAAATATATATTTTTTAAATTTATTTACTAGCGGAGGCGATTGAAATTTTTTTTTTTAAAATGATTTATTTTTAAATCAATAAAAACATAATAATAATACATATCATGCGAAGAAATGGCGCTATGCAATTTCAGACCTGGTTTATTTTTTTTTTATTTTTTGTTTTTTACGGATTGATTGGTATTGGCAATGCAGGGGTGGTTATTTTCTAATTAAATAATTTGTAATGCATAAACAATAACCTTAATAAAGGATCGAAAATAAAAATATAATTGAACTTTTTTTTTCTTTTAAATTTATAAAATGTTCAACAGTAACGATCAAAGTGTAATAAAAAGGCTTAAAAATATATTTACCAACGCAAACAAAAGTAATAAAGAAGATGGTAAGCGTAATGATTTAAACAAGTTGTTTTGACGGACTTGAGACGATTTATAAATATTTTTCTTATAACATTAGAGCCAGTTTCGGATGTTCCGGATGCTCCTACTTTAAGAGAATTAAATGGTATGAACATTTATCTATTTGCTAAGTCATACTATAATTCTTTAATTATTAAGATTTTTTTTAAAAAATAAAAATATAATTCAATGATTGGTGATATGCTATAGAATGTAAGTCATTTTATTTTCCTATCGATATATTTTTAACTTGTAAACTAAACTTTTATTTAAAATTTCTAATGATTAATTATACTAGGGAGTAAGTTATTTTAAAACTTTATATTGTAATTTAAATTCAACTAATTTATTTTATTAAATGGTTAACACATTTTAGTCGGTAAGTTATTTTATTATTTTTCCATATATAATAATTTAATCACGACTAAATTTTATTTAAAATATTATAGATCGTAAGTTATGTTTTACTTTTTAATTTAATTTAAATAAATAATATTAATATATATTGATAATATTACAGAAAGTAAGTTATTATTTTAAGTTTCGACGAATAAAATTAATTTGTATAATTATTAAAATTTTATTTAAAAATATTCAATAATTAATAATACAATAGATGGTAAGTTATTTTATTGATTATTAGTATATAATTATTATTTTTTACTGTAATTTAAGCTCAACTAAATGTTTTATTTAAAAAAAAATTAAATTAGATTGTAAGTTATTTTAGTGATTATTAATTATACTTTTTACTGTAATTTAAACACAACTAAATTTTTATTTAAAAAAAACTAAAGGGAGTAAGTTATTTTTAATTAGATTTTACTGTAATTTAAACTCAACTAAATTTTTTATTTAAAAAATTATAGGGAGTAAGTTATTTTTATTGATTATTAGTATTTAATTATACTTTTACTGTAATTAAACTCAACTAAATTATTTATTTAAAAAAAAAATTAAATTTAGATTGTAAGTTATTTTTAGTAATTATACTTTTTACTGTAATTTAAAACTCAACTAATTTTTTTATTTAAAAAATTATATTTAGATTGTAAATTATTTTTATTGATTATTAATATTTAATATACATTTTATTGTAATTTAACTCTACTCAATTTTTTATTTAAATAATTAATAATGCAATAGATGGTAAGTTATTTTTATTGATTATTAGTATTTAATTATACCTTTTATTGTAATTTAAACAATAAATATTTATTTAAAAATATTTAATAATTAATAATGCAATAGATAGTAAGTTATTTTTATTGATAATTAGTATTTAAATATACTTTTTTAAAATCAACTAATTTTTATTTAAATAAAATTAAATTTAGATTGTAAGTTATTTTTATTGATTATTAATATTTAAATAATTATACCTTTTATTGTAATTTAAACTTAATTAAAATTTTATTTAAAAATATTTAATAATTAATAATGTAATAGATAGTAAGTTTTTTTTTATTAATTATTAGTATTTAATTATACATTTTTTGTAATTTAAACTCAACTAAATTTTTATTTATAAAATAATTAATAATTATAATATAATAGTTAGTAAGTTATTTTTATTGATTATTAATATTTAATTATACTTTTTATTGTAATTTAAATTCTACTAAATTTTATATTTAAAAAATCTAAAGGGAGTAAGTTATTTTATTGTTTATTAGTATTTAATTAGACTTTTTACTGTAATTTATACTCAACTAAATTTTTTATTTAAAAAACTAAAGGAAGTAAGTTATTTTTAGTATTTAATTATACTTTTATTATAATTTAAACTCTACTAAATATTTTATTTAAAATAATTAATAATTCAATAGATGGTAAATTATTCTATTAATTATTAGTATTTTATTATACTTTTTACTATATTTAAACTTTATTAAATTTTTTATATTAAAAAACTAAAGGGAGTAAGTTATTTTTATTGATTATTAGTATTTAATTAGACATTTACTGTAATTTAAACTCAACTAATTTTTTTTTAAAAAAAATAAAGGAAGTAAGTTATTTTATTGATTATTAGAATTTAATTAGACTAATTATTATAAATTAATCAACTAAATTTTTTATTTAAAAAACTGAAGGGAGTAAGTTATTTTTATAGATTATTAATATTAAATTATATTTTACTATGATTTAAACTCAACTAAATTTTTATTTAAAAAATAATAATAATTAATAATATTATAGAATGTAAGATATTTTTATCGATTATCAATATATTATTATTGTAATTTAAATTTAACTAAATTATTTTATTTAAAAAAAAATTAAATTAGATTGTACGTAATTTATTAATTATTAGTATTTAATTATACTTTTTACAGTTTAAACTTAACTAAATTTTTTATTTAAAAAAAATTAAATTTAGATTGTAAGTTATTTTTAATGATTATTAGTATTTAATTATACTTTTTAATATAATTTAAACTTTACTAAATTTTTTATTTAAAAAATTAAATTTAGATTGTAAGTTATTTTTGTTAATTATTCGTATTTAATTAGATATTCATTGTAATTTAAACTCAACTAAATTTTTATTTAAAAAAATTAAAGGGAGTAAGTTATATTTATTGATTATTAATATTTAATTGTAATTTAAATTCAACTAAATTTTTTATTTAAAAATACTAAAGGAAGTAAGTTATTTTATTGATTATTAGTATTTAATTATATATTTTACTATAATTTAATATAATTATATTTTTTATTTAATAAAAATTAAATTTAGATTGTAAGTTATTTTAGTAATTATTAATTATACTTTTGACTATAATATAAATTTAACTAAATTTTTTATTTAAAAAAATTAAATTTAGTTCGTAAGTTATTTTATTAATTATTAATATTCAATTACACTTTTATTATAATTTAAATTTAACTAAAATTTTATTAAAAAATTAATAATAATTTAGGTTGTAAGTAATTTTTATTAATTATTAATATTTAATTATATATATTATAATTTAAACTTAACAAAAAATTTTTATCTAAATTTTTAATAATTAATTATATTATAGTTGGTAATTTATTTTTTATTATTTAATTATATAATTAATATAATATAATTTAATATTTAATAATAATTATTTAAAATATAATATATTATTGAAACTTATAAATTTTTAAATTTAGTAAGTATTATATTTTTATTTTAATAGTTATATTAATATAAATTATAATATTAATATAAAATTAATATTTAGAAAAAAAAGGAAAATGCCCAATTTGTAATAAAAAAAATACTGGATATAAATGGTGTAAAAAATGTAATTCTAAATTATTACAAAAGAATTTTTCTAATTGGACTAGTAAAAATGAATATATTGATAAATTTATTCAAAAAATTCAAATAAATGCTCAAAATAGAAGGCAATTATTAGAATGGATTCCTTATAATAAATTTGAAAATATTAAGTATCTTGATAAAGGAGGATTTAGTATTATATATAAAGCAACTTGGACAGATGGATTTATTAAATATTATGAATATAAAAATAAAAAATGGATTAAAATTGGCAAAATTGATGTAATTCTTAAATCTTTAGATAAATCTTTAAATTTAAATGAAATATTTCTAAATGAGGTAAGATATTATTTATTATTTTTAATTTTAAATAATAAAATTTTAAATTAATTTTTATTTTAGTGGAAATATCATCATTTATGTTATAGTCAATTGAAAATATATTCAAAAGAAAATCTTATTCAAATTTATGGTTTTACTCAAGATCCAAATACATTAAATTATATTGTAGTGATGCAATATGCACAAAATAGTAATTTAAGAAAAAATTTATCAAATATAATAGAAAATATATGGATTATAAAATTATTTAAATTAATTAATATTATTAATGGACTTAATGAAATTCATCAAAAAAAGCTAATTCATTGTGATCTTCATCATGGTAATATTTTAAATATTAGAGGAAATATTTTATCTATTAGTGATTTAGGATTATGTAAGCCTGTAGATTATTTTCAAACATCTAAAAAAAATGAAATTTATGGTGTTTTACCATTTGTAGCTCCTGAAGTTTTAAGAGGTCAATCTTATACATTAGCTAGTGATATATATAGCTTTTCTATGATTATGTGGGAATTAGTATCTGGAATTTCTCTATTTAATCATGAAGCTCATGATTTTCAACTTAGTTTAGATATTTGCAAAGGTAAACGTCCTCAAATTATTGAAAATATTCCACAATGTTATATAAATTTAATGGAAAAATGTTGGGATAAAGATCCATTAAAAAGGCCAACTGCATTAGAAATTAAAAAGATTAATAATAATTGGTTTGAGAATATTAAAAATAAAAATTTTGATAAAAAATATACAAGTGAGATCATAGAATTTTATAAAGCAGATAAAGTATTAAAACAAAAACAAGATAATAATATATTAAATAATGATATTATTAGTGAATCTCATCCACAAGCATATTATACAAGCCATTTATTAAATTTTACTGAAAAATTAAAACAAGTTTTAAATGAAGATACTGTAAAACCTGAAATTAATGAATATAAAGGTAATTATATAATATTTATAAATATAAAAATTTTAAGATTATTAATTAATATATATTTTAAATATAGAATCATTAAATATCATAGAAGATGAAATAAATTCATAATTTGAATTAATTTTAATATACTTATCGCGTTTATAATATATTATTTTAGTGAAAATAACTCAAATTTTTATTTTATTATTATAATAAAAGAAGTATTTTAATAAATATTTTTATAAAAAATTAAATATCCTTCGTATATACAAAGTAATTACTTATATGTTTAGACTTTTTTATTCAATGTTAGCTAAAATAATTGTGTTAAAATTCTGTTATAAACAAGGCTCCCATAACAGTGATAGAATTTGTGCGAACATATTGCTTATTGTGAAATTGAGAAATTCAATCTTGTAAATCTGCTATTCCAAGCTTCGTAATAACACCATGGATCCATGTTAAACAATCACCTAAAGTCTTGGTGCTTTTGCTTTATACATTGGGTCATTTGCTGTATTTATGGCTTTATTAGTATTGTAAATATTATGAATTTAGACAAATTAACTAGTAACATTGCGAAAATACCATTTTTTTCGGAAAAAGCCGTTAATGCGTCTCCCGCACGTTTCTTTATACTAATGTAATAATCTTATAAATAAAAGATTTTACTTGGTATTGATAATGCTGGCTTTCTTAAACATCCAGGTTTGACAGAAAGAAACATGATATTTAACTTCAGACGGGATCCAACTTCTCAATGGCTAATAAAAATAAAATAGTAAAGATTCTGCATAGTTTCAAGTTATTAAAATAACTTACCTCCAAACGCAATTTCCAATTATTTTCACGCAAACCAGCAGTCAGATCTTCAAAAATCAATTCAGCAAACTTGGACTCGAGCAATTTTGCTAGTAAACTTGTATTTGGTATCTTCTTTCCACTCTTCTTTGGAAAATTTGGAGCATTGGTAGAAGCTTTTTTGAAGGAATTTCTGGCTTTGTTATCAGGGCAGATTTCCAACAGGAGCTGCCTTCTTAAATGCACATTTCTTCAAAAAAAAGGCAAAATGAGTTGAACTATTCTATAACATATCAAAGAAAGATTAAATTAACTACTCCAAAAGTATGACATACAACTTCATATTTTATCTCTTTAGGTGCATCCGCTTTTCTGGAAGTGGATGCTTTTCGCAGCAAAAATATTACTTTAACTTCGGCCTTTTCATAACATTTTTTGACTTTTCCCTTTTTTATATCATCAAGGCCTACCAAGAAAGTGCTCATCGCCTTCACACAAATAAAACTTTCATCCTTGTTCCAATACTTTAAAAGCTGATAAGGGACAGATTCAAGATTGTCGTCAGAAGCTTTCACTATTATTTCAGGTAAAGATTTGTTTTTTATATCTGACAAGCCATTTTATGTACTCTGATTAATTTGTGGGTTATTGAGCTTAGGTCACAATATGTCCTCCAATATTGTAACTCAAATAATAAAATTATTAATTAGATATGTAAAGTTAGAATTACCAGATAATATTTACACTTAAAATACGTCATCCTGTGTCGAAGCCAAAGCATCAACCACACTTTTGTTTCTTTAAGAGTTTTCTATCATGGGTATACGGACTATTGAAAATAATAATAGCTTAATAAAGGATTCAATATAACAAATTACCCTTTGTTTATATTTTGCAAAAAACTTCAAGTAAACTCAAGGCCAACAATAGCTGCGATTGTAACTATTAAAGAATTGGAATCCAACATACGTTATAATTTTTAAAAGTACACGTAAGTAAACTTTCTCACTACATAATTTTAATCATTTTTCTCACACCTTTGCAATGCAGTTAAAATCAGAATAATAGTTATCCACAACCCTCGAACTTTTAAATTTCTAACAAATCCTCCGGAGCTTCTTTCCTTTCTTACCATTTGATAGAAATTATATGATGTTATTTCAAGAATCTATTATTAAAATTAATATCGTAAAATATCTTACCAATCAAGTATATAAAATTCTTTGGACAATTTTTACAGAACATCGACAGGTTCTACTAAATAATATGCATTAGTCTTATTTTCTTCTCCTGCTTCGGTTAGATAAACCTAATCAAAAGCTTCATAATAATACTGAACACTACCTCCACCATTGCCTTTTCTTCAGCTGCTTGTAAATGTAATAATCGTCCCTGTTGAAGTTTTCTTGTGGTAATTTTAAAAGCTTATTTAGTTCTTTGATCTAAATAAATTAAGCATCTTCTGCTTTTATGTTACCATATCTAATCCATTCTAACATAAGTTTTCGTGAACACTTTACACAGGTCTTCAATTTTACCTAGTTCGGAAACTGGAGTTCAAGAAATTGGCTTCGGAAATGTATATATCGGAGTAATGATCAGCTAATATAAACCTCGCCACTAGTATTGGATCCAACATTTTGGCCAAAAAATTGACAATTAAAGCAATTAAAGCAAATTTAATTTAATATAAAATAAAAAAAAGGGTGAAAAGGAAATCCTAGGCCAAATATCTTGGAAATAATAAACTTTACTTACTGAAATAAATTCATTTGATTTTTGCATGTGCGCCTGGTTCCAAAAAATTACTGCAGCCTTCGATGGTAGATCTCACATTTCTGACATTTCGGACCTATGCCATTTTTCCTTCCTTTTAATAATAAGTATTTTGATCTAGACCACACAGATATAATTAATTGATCCTTTTAAGGTAGTATTAGACTTCGTTTTGGTTTTTTTTTAAACTAATGTAATTGTATGATCGCAGTAAGACAATACTCCTGAATAAATTATTATTGTGTATTTATAATTTTTTTATAATATTTTGTTTTTAGTTGGATATTTTTATTAAACAAGTAAAAATATCAAATTTTCTTTTCTTTTTTTCATTAATAGTATACCTGAATACCGAAAAAATTTACCGTATTTCTATATTTCAAAACATCTCCGTTTTTTTCTGATTTTACAGTATTATACTATACTTTAAAAGTTAAAAATTTATTGGGTTGAATACTAAAAGAAAAAGTAATTTTTAGATTGAGGTAAATGACGTTTGCAACACTGAAATTTTTAAATTTTAAAAAAGATTGACTTCCTTTTGGAAATTATTAGCATATTATAATCTTTATCAATATACCATCACTCCGTTTATAGGCAACTCAAATTGATCATATTCAGCTGTTGGGGTAAGCGTTATTATATATGTAACTAGAATAAGTTGATGTGCGTGCGTCGCCGCTTGTTCATTAAATTAACAGCAGTCAGTATTCAATACTTAGTTATGATGCCTAATTATAATATTTGATACTATATTATATTAAAATGGTTGAACGAAATCATACTATAATTAAAAAAAAAAATAATAAAAGAAAAACCACGTACCGCTTTCAACTAAACTAAAAAAATTTATTAAATAAATGTTTAAATCAATTACTTTCATATGCCAAATATAATTTTTTAGGCCAAGATATGTTCAGAATTAGCATTAACTCATTTTTATTTTTCACGGCAGCTTCTATTGCAAAGATTTTTTATCGATTATTTATTTAGTTTTTTTTTTTTTTTTTTACAGTTAATTAAACTCAATAAATTTTTATATAAATGTTTAATGTAATAAAAAGAATGTATCATATTGTTTAACATATGTAAAAAGTTTATTATTACCAATAAATTAAACTTGGTTATATTCGGTTTTGCTGTTTCGAAAAATTTGGGTTATTTCCACTGGGTTAATTCAAAGTATATATTAATAAGAAAATATATTCTCTTTTTTTTATTGTTGACAAACAAATAAAATTAATTTTACATGAGCTGAGATATATTTTGTTATCACAGACACGACAATCTTAATGTAAATTTGCAGCGACCAGCTTTAATTATTCAATTAGTGTAAGAGGATCTTTCATTATAGAAAGCAATATCACCGATAGTAGTAAGCATCGTCTCAATTTGTGTAATTTTGCGGGCATTTATATCAATATTTGGATTAATCTATATTACTAAATTTTATGTCCCTTCGAGACTTGTGAAATATCCCCTGATTACCATTCAGGTGAATAATAAATTATCCTTAATAGAAATAGTTTGATAATTAATATATTTAAGCAGATACGTGATTTTAGTAAAATTTTAATTCCATTTTTTTTTACATTGTGATCATTAAATATTCGTAATTAATAAAAATATCAAATTAATTGTTGTCCCATTATTGATTATAATAAGTAAGGAATTTATGGAATTTGTCAAGTTTTAAATAAGTTCAACATTTTTTTTTTTTTAATGATTTTGATAGGGGATTTTGTGGAATGGAGTTGTAATTCATTATCGTTATGAGAAACAAAATCGCAAAAGGAGAACTAAAGTTCAATTACTGCCTGCTGACGAAGGTATTGAAATCATCTTGAACTTAGGCTAATATGTGAGGTTGGCTATTAAAATATAGTAAATCATATGATGCGTAAAGTGATTTTAATAGCAAAGAAATATTGCAGATTAAAAAATTTACAAATTTACTCACTAGTAAATTTTTTTTTATAAAATTAGATTTTTTTAAAGCCTGTTAAATTCATATCATCTTTTAGAAAAGTATTAAATTAGAATTTTCAGATTATTTTTATTTACATCACATTAAAATATGTCATCTATTTTTGCAAAATAAAAAAAATAAGTGGTCAAAATTGTCGAGATAGATTTTTGAACGTATTTAAACATAGCAATAAACTATAGATTTTATTTTCGTATAATCTTTTTTTTTGTGACTGTTAATTTATCGAAGGACAAAAAACAAATACTTTTTTGAAGATATCTAAATTCCTCTGTAAAAAAAGTGAAGCTATTTATACAAAATTCTATCTAAAATTAAAATTCTAATATTTTCTTGATCGGGGCTGTTTGATACGAAACTCTAATAATGATCAAAAGGAAGAAATTGATTTGTGCCTGTTGGCAAATAAAGGATTTTCCAAAAAAAAATTCGAGTGCTTTCCTAAAATAACGTCTCCCTCGATGGGATCTACGGACCATAGAGCTACCAAAGATGGAAAAAATGAAGTTTAAAAAAAGATTGCTCATATTTCTAACTCTTTAAATTTTCCATTTACACACATTTACACCATGGATCTTAAACGCAGACAAAAATCAATAATTATACTAAAAGCCGTCATAAAAAATAAAAGTCGTCAAGATATTCATCTTTTAACCGTACTTACCACAACAAATATAATTTTTTCAAGTGTTTTTTTTTCCATCCAATATAAGATTTCAACGTCAGCCAAGACCTAAAACTGGACTGATTTTTTCCCATATTTAGGTTATAATTCTTTTAGGCGTCACTTTCGTATAACTCTTACTATTGTTACTTCATTAGAAACCCATCAAGCCTTACCATAGACGCAACACCTGCATGGAAACAAATTTCCATTGTATTATGGCGATTAGCAAATGGAACTGGAATATGAGTATAAGAACAAACATTCGGAATAAACCAAGCTGTAAGTAATTTTACTGATCAATTTTTAGAAGCAATATTAGATTTAGAAGATTTATTTGCTGGGTCGACCCGGGTTGACTCGGGTCAAGAAAAAACGTGACCCTTGACCCGGCGGGTTTTATTGAATTAGGACTCATGTCATAAATATGATAGTCCCGACTCGAGAAAAAATTCGAGTCGGGTCAAACAACTCGATCGTTTCGACGCACTAAATGAATATTTTCCATTTTTCAAATAAAGGATCGGAAATATATACACAATCTTAATTTCTTTTATTCGTATTGTTATACACTTTTCCTGAGGTAAAGAAATAAAACATAAAGATTTACAATGTTCACGCTCGAAAAATCCGATTTTCGTTTATCATCAATATTATATAATAGGTAAAGTCATTGAAAATATATACAGTATATTAAATTCTTATTTAGGATTTAAATGTAGATTATTCGGCGCAAACAAAGTAAAAATCAGAAAACGTGTTTTATTTTGAAATGAAGAATTGTGACAATACTATTGAGCAAGATCGTTGGAGAATTAGTGTTCTCCTCCTAAATATTACCCATAATTGGTTATTTCTAGTAAAATAACCTGTGAACCAAACGTCTCAAATTCAAATCTTAATTAAATTCGTAAATATCCTATAAAAGGTAATAATTTATATGTATAGTACATTTAAATTCTGCGTTTTCATCGTTGAACTTAAAATAAAATCAAAACGTATAATCTTTACATAATTAAAAAGCTAAGCCTACATTGAAGTATTGCTTATGTATATGGTTAAAAGGAATTATACAAAAGTTTACGCACACTTTTCATGTGAATTTCTCAAATTTATTATGAAACTAAACGTTTTACAAATAATAAAAGACTATTAAAATACTAATACTACTACCATTAATGTTTAACATTCGGTCAGACAACTACTGCATAATCACCAATTTATTATTTACGAAATGGACCACTAATATATATGTTTATCTTAAAAATCAAAGCAAAAATTTTAATGTATTAATTTTTTCCTTAATATATATAAAGAAAAAAACTAATATCAGCTTTTTAAATCGTTCTAATTAATGTGATTGTCTTCTCAATTCAAAACTGAAATTGATAGATTACATTAAATGATGGGTATTTAAAAATATTTTATATTGGCATTAATCATTCTGGGTATAAAGGTCATCGGAGAATTCAAACCTCCCTATATTTAGTAAATTAATGGAATATTTCACAAGCATGACTTTGACCCATTATATCATCATGTGTGAAACTCAACACACACACGTCCAGGACTCAATTAACTGAGACTGTGTCATTTCAAGGCAAGATTTAAATGATTAGTAATGATAATCTTATATTTTAGTGTTAAGGAAATATAATCAAAGACAAAGGCTTCTCCCAACTAATAACTATTTTATTTTAACAATCATACGCAATAAAAGATGTAACCTCAATAATTGATTTTTACAAATAAAAAAGTTTAAGTAGAAACAATATTCAAAATCATTATAAAATTTCAACTCCAGACTTTGAATTCAAATCTATAAGTTGGTGATAAAAAATATCTCAGTTTTCACCTGGTAAAGAACATTATTGAAGACAAATAAAAAATATATGGAATTAGAATCAAGTTGTATACAAGTATGAAGCATCCAAAAACTTACACAGTAAGAGTTGCATAAATACTGAAAACAAGCTCATTAAATATTTATTTTTAACCATTACCAAAATAGAAATCAGCTAAGCCAACATTATTAACATGCAAATTTTCCCATCCTAAAGCATTCGTCGTCATCAAAATTCCACGACTTAGGAGATGAGAAAGCAACATGACTGAAGGCTGAAATGATGATAATAAGCATGCAAAAGTGCAATTTCATGATAACTTTGGAAGTATTTGAAGGTTTAATATCACTAATATTTTTATATGTGAATTTTATAAACAAATTCTTGTGGGAAATGCAGTTTAAAGGGTTTATTTATAAGAAAATCAGGTTAGAGTTACAATTTAAAATATTTGATGAAATGGCTGTCTCTTGACAATGTAATAACAATTTCCTTACTGGGCTTATCCTTAACAATCTTATATTTGCTTGCTGGAGATTCTCATAAAGAGCGTTACAGCCTTTACAGCCTTTCAAATGCTGTAATAAATATTTGCAACCAATCACACCATTGTAAATCCTAAATATAATCGGTTAGAAAAAATTTGAGTCATTGTACAATGAATATAATTCTGCCCACAGACGATAATTTTGGTCAACATATCTGCACACATTAAATTTAGTTAGACTATGAAGATTAATTCCGACAAGTTCGGCAAATATAACTAAGCCAAGAAACTTTGATAATGTAATTAAGTAGGAAGATTTGATAACATAACTAAGCCAAAAGACTTCAGAAACGTAACTTAGCCAAATAAATGGCTTTTATACGTACCAAAGCCATATGTTAATATATTCAAATTACTTTTTTATTACAACAACAAATTTTGTATTTCGATATTTAATTGATTTCAATAATTGTGGCTAGTAAAGCTTTACATAAGCAGCTTGGCTTGGCTTGCCATAAGCTTAAGCCGAGCCACTTTTATTTCGGCTTGGCTTAGCTCGGCTCATGGCGATAATCGACAATCCAAGCCAAGCCAAGCCGACTTGTAAGCCGGCTCGTTCGGCTTACATTTCTTTTTCTGAAACGAAATTCCGTCAAGAAACACGTTTCCGGAACGACTGAAGGCCTTTTTTCAAAGAAAATTGTTTTCGGAGCGATTTCCTTGAGGGATCGTCTCTGTGGCTTTTCCTTTGAAGGAATCGCTCCGGGAGCGTTTCTTTGAAAGAAAATGCCTCTGAGACGATTTTTCCGAAGATAAACGCTTCCGAAGGCGTTTTTTTCAATGAAAACCACTTCCGGAGGCTTTTTTTTCAAAAAAAACATTTCCAGAGGCGTTTCCCTCCAATCAAGTTCGCCAAAGTGATCTTTTAAATAAGAATTAACGTATCAATTTCAGCATATTCCAAAACTACGGCGAATTTATTTACTTCGAGGTACTATAAAAAAAAAATAAAATTTTTTTTTGAAAGGTATTAATCATTTATCTATCCATTAAAAAATATTGTCAAATTTTCTATTATTTGCCAGTTCTTTTAGTGATGATTCCAAAAACTTGTATGATATTTTCATGATGGCTAACTTTTTCGATGTAATTTTAACTTCAATACGATGTTAGAATTAAATATAATTTTTTTAAATTTTAACGATGAATACTTTTTTTTTTTATTTGAATCATTTTAGCTCATTTACAACTTCTTTCAGAGTTACTTTGTCATTCTTAAAAAATTTCAAAACGTAAATATGATTATTCCTCCAAGTTGCGCATACAACGTTTCCAAAAAAAAAAACGTTTCCAATTCGTTTTATATCATTGAAATCTGAATATTCTTCCGATTTTCTAACAAATCAATTAAATCATTTTCTGTTTCATTTGACATTTTAGCATATATATGATTATTCCGCAAATAAGGAAAGAAGCTACTTTTATAAATTTGCGGAAGAAAACTCCGGAAAAAGTTACACGACCGTTGCATTTAACACGTGCTACAAGTAAGATCTTCTATTGGATTGAAAAGTTAAACATTAAAGATATTTCGATAGACCCTTTCTTATACTAACGTGTCTTATTGAATTAATAGGAGTTAATTATCAAAACTCAATTTTATTTGAAATTTTGATATTATTCTGATCTTGCTGAATTTTTGGATTTCTTACTTGCCTGAATTATCCAAATTTCCTTAGATTAAAGTTAGAAATTTCCCTTGAATTATTGTAATCCTTTATAATAATTGTGCTTTATTTGCGTTAAATTGGAATAGAATATTGTCATTAACAAACTTAAAAGAACTACTATTTATTGTGAGTTAAAAAAAATATATTTCGTATTAATCAATATTACACCAGATCATAATTATGACAGGGAATCAATGAATAATAATGTAAAGAATAAAATTAAAAGGACAACGATGAAGCAAAAGAAAAACTGTTCTTTATTGCTGCTCAGCCGGCGCTTAAAACTTCTACAAGCTTCGACTCTATATAGATGAATGAGAACATACTATGTAAAGCCTAATTATATATACGTGTATAAATACGATGTAAAATAAAATCAATTCATCAAAGCGTTACCTTAACATCGTCAGCGATCTACACTTCCGAAATCTGACCGTTTATTACAAAATACTAAATGCTAATATTTTAGCAAAGACAAATTACAATATAGAAAAAGAGTTCGGCCAAATTGATCTACAAAGTCTAACTAAAATAACCAGAGAATTATAAATTTGGCGGTGTTTGGTAATTTTTGTGTGATTGAGACATATGAAGTATACAATATATTTTGTTTTAAAATATATATTTACAGCCAATAAAAAATTATTTTATAAAAATAAAACCTATAATGGCTGCTGATGAGTTTGTTCTTAAATTATTACAAAATTTATTTGAATGCTTAGAAGATAATGACTATTTTGATGTTATAATTGAAGTTGGAAAAGTTCAAATGTAAAAACATTTCGTTATTTGCATAGAATTTATCCACTAACAAAAAGAGAAATGATGGAACGGTACACATTAAGTTTCCGAATATTCTTCCGGAAACTTTTCACATAGTCTTGAGGTAATTTGAAATATTGAGAGTTTTATTTATAAATATAAATTCAGGTATTCACAATTTTTTTATATATATATTTTTTAAGTATATTTATGCTGCTCTATAAACGACATTCAAGTTTAGCTTAAACATGACAAAATCCATTCAAGATGCTAATACTATAAAAGCCAACGATGCCGAAAAAAAATCAATTTACTTTTATCGCATTCCCTTATTTAAGAAATTTGCGGGGAGAAGAAT